TATATGTATATATATATATATATATATATAATCTTTGAGTTTCAGAGAGAAAAAAAAGAAATAAAAACTCCCTCGTTCTTCCATTTACGTCCGTTTTCTTCTTTTTTTTTTTTTTTCTTTTCATCACCTTCATCTCTTTTTCTTCTCGCCATTTTTTTTTTTTTTTCATTCTTGAAAATAATGTGTATGTGTATTACGAAGTACTCATTTCATATTCTGCAGCTGTTTCATCATACCCTGCAGACCACCTAATCCACCCAATTGGCGAAGCATATTTGGATTTAGTGCCTTTGCCAACTGTGTCATTTGTTGTTGGCCCATTCTACCAGAGAGCATACTACCCGGATCTTGAGTCATGGCTTTAAAGTTTACTTTCCCCATTCGCTTTACCACTTCTTCGAATTTGGAGTAACTATTAATTAAATTGTGGACTTCCAGTATGGAGTGACCACTCCCACGGGCTATACGGTGAACACGGGAGGGAGTCATTATTTTCTTTACCCGCCCATCATCCAATTCCGCTGCGGTCATACTATCCATAATGTGAATAAAGGCTTTCAGCGTCACATCCCCCATTTCACCAGCAGCTCCACCAAGAGCAGACATTCCAGGAATCATATCCATAATTTTACTGACAGATCCCATTTTAAGAACATTTTGTAAATGTTCATACATATCTCGCATTGTAAATTGTCCATCTTGAAATCGTTTATATAATTCACTATCTGCATTTATATTCGCATCCTTCATTGTATCCATTAAAGCCCGCATATCACCCATTCCAAGCATACGACTAACAAAACTCTCTGGTTGAAATAATTCAAAATCATCAAAGTGTTCTCCAGTTCCAATAAATACAATAGGACTTTTGGTCATGGCAACAGCTGCAAGAGCCCCACCACCTTTGGCTTGTCCATCAAGTTTGGTAACAATAACAGAACCAACTGGTACTTTCTCTTTAAATTGACGTGCTTGTTCTTGAATACCTTGTCCATCTGTTGCACTCATTACAAACACCACATCATTTGGTTTAATGGTTTCTTGAACTTGTTTCATTTCATCAAAAAGAGCAGATTCCTGTTTATGACGACCACTAGTGTCTACAATAATAAGATCATACTTTTCCTTTACAAGTTCTGTTACCCCTTCTTTTGCAATAATAACAGGATCTGCTTCTGTAAGAGAACCATAGAAACGAATTTTCGCTTTTGTGGCATTTTGCCGTAATTGATCATAAGCCCCCGCACGAAAAGTATCCGCACACACTAATGCCGTTTTAAATCCTTTACGTTGAAAGTACGCCGCATACTTTGTACAAGAGGTTGTCTTTCCTGATCCTTGAAGTCCAACAAACATAACAATATTTGTTTTTCCTTTAACCGGCACAAATGGTTTCACACCGGGATCGAGAATCTTTTTAATTCCATTAAAGACGGCATTTTGTAACATTTTACGTTTATTTAATCCAACCGCTTCGGATGTGATGGCCACTTCTGCACGAATGGTTTGCTGGAGTTCTTTCACCATCTTTACATTCACATCTGCCTGAAGTAAAGCCCGGGCCACGTCGTTTAATAATTCCTTCACATCTTCCTCTCCAAGAAGAGACTTGGACGACATCTTTGAGATCGCCGCCCCGATCTTCTGACCGAGTTCTGCCAACACCATCTTTTAAATTAGAGAATATGTTTTTCCGGTTTTTTCTTTTTTATTCTTTCTCTTCTTTGTTGTTGTTGTTGTGGTTGTTTTCTTCCTTTTATTTGTGTTTTCTTCTCTTAATAGTATCTTCCCCTATGGTAATATGCACTTCACTGTGTCTCTTACTAATACCTCTTTCCTTTTTTCTCTGTATTTTTTTTCTTTTTTTTTTTTCCTTTTCTTCTCTTGTGATCGTTTCTTGTGATATAAATTATGAGTCGGCTATTTTTTTTTTCTTTTTTTTTTTTTACACGACGTGCTGTGGTACACATTCATAAGAGAAATAGATATACAAATATGAGAAACAAAACAGAAAAAGAAAAAAGAAAAAAATAAAAGAAAAAGTCAAAAAAAAATATGTATTACCGAAGAATAACAGTAATGCCCTCTTATTCTGGTAAACATAACCAGTTGAGGTTATTTGCTTGCGAATATCATTTTCTTTTAAACAGTATTCGTCTCTTTGTTGACAACGTATCTCACATATATGCATATATATATATATATATATATATATATATATATATATATATGAGTGTGTCTGTCTGTGTGTGTGTGTGTAAGTCTACAGAAAAAGGCTTATTTCCATAAAGGACTCAGTGAAATTTGTTTTCCTTCTCAATGGTGTTTTGTTAATAGTTTGACGTTACGATGTAAATGAAGAGAATAAGGAACAAAAGCGAATGATAACACACCCGCTTCCTGTTATCATTTCTGCAAGGCAAACACACCGAAGTTGTAAAGATGGAAAAGAAGAAGAAAAAAAGAAAAATAGAAAAGCGAATTGAAAACGGAGATAAAGCACCCCCACTTTCTTTCCCTCTTTCTTTGTTTCTTTCTCTCTCACTTACTTATGCTTTTGTGTTTTCTTCTCCTGTTCATACTTTGTGAAGTTGATATTTGTAATGATCCCCACCTGATTCAACTTCTCTAGACAATTTCGCATACACTTATACTCTGGCCCGTAAAAGTTATTAAACCAATACTGAGAAACACAACGTTCTTGACAAGTCATACTGTTCGCATAATTCATTCGGTCTTCCTGCATTTGTTTTAATACTTCGAACTCTTCATTCCACGCAGGTGTGATGTGGGTCATTGTTTGTGTAAATAAATGTAGGAATGAAAGGTTTTTTTTTTTTTTTTTTTAAAAAAACTAATGCGCTTTATTACCTCCCACCTTCCTTGATGGTTATTATTTAATATTATTATTCCTATTATTATGGTTATTCTCTCTAAAGAAACAGAGAAAGATAATAATAATAATAATAATAATAATAATGGTAAAAAAAAAAAAGAAAAAGAAACATTGAATATCGCATTTGTTTAAGAAATACCAAAAATAAAGAATAAATCTCCAAAGCATACAGAGGACGAAAAAAGAAAAAAAAAGTACACATTAAAATCAGACAAAGAGCGATAAAACCAACTTAACTAATTACTCGTGAATATAAATATATATATTTATTTATGGTCTCTACAACCACTATAGTCATCACATATTACACCCCCATACACACACAAAAAAAAAAAAAACTTGGGAGAAAAAGAGTCATGACTGTGCACCTCTTCTTTTTTCAAAGCGTGTGAGAAAATCTCTGATAAACGACAATACTCCGTACCTATGCTTACTGTTATGATGGCTCTTCCTTGTTATTGATATTCCAATCGCCTCTTGTTCTTGTTGTTCTTCCTCTTCTTCTTCCTCATCATCAAAGTAAAGCTGACGTTCTGTCACCAGTGGAAGAGTTCCAACTACTGGACGCAACCATTCATTTACAAAGAAACCATCCGCTTCCTTGTAAACTCCACCACTCGCCGATGTATACACACGTGCATCTCCAACCCCACAACTGGGGGATCGTGCCTTTAAGAGACAAGCATCAATGCCCGTTAATTGACGCACAAGTAATTCATCCGCCAACAATGGATGACGAGAGATAAGACGTTCACGCAGTTCACGACCCTCTTTTACTTCTCCCTTTACATTTCCATATATATAGACTTTTTGTTCTTGTTGTTGTTGTTGTTGTGATTTCCCTTCTCTTTCTTTTCTCTCTGTTTGTTGGGATTGCAGGAGACGTATGGGTGGGCGTGGGGAAGTCATGTGGAGAAGATCCATCTCTGGGCAGACGGGAATACACGTGAGGAGGGCGTAGTCGCTGGCGAGACAGTGAAGGAGAAAACCGGCGGGGGTGCGGGGCCGCGGGGAAGAGTGATGCCGGCGGTAAGAGACACAATGGCCAAGAAGACAGGCACTCACCAGTAATACAGGCCTTTTACAGTCTTCTTCTTCTTTTTTTTTCCCCCCTTTTTCTACGATTGGGCTCGATAAAGATTGTGATGATGATAAAGATGATAAAGATGATAATGATAAGGACTGTGATGATGAAAGGCCTTGTCGATAGTGGTGAAGAAGTTGGCGTACATTCACGCCTCCTAATGTGAGGGGTCGTCGGCCGGCCATCTTCTAATCTCAATAAAGCCAACAGCTGCCGTGAGAGACGGTGGGAAGTTAATATCAATATAATAAAAATAAAAATAACGGAAAAGGAGATATGCAAAGAAAAAAAAGAGAAACAGTGATATAAACAGCACGTTCAATAAACTGAATAAATAATAAATAATAATAATAATAATATTAATAAATAATATTAAATAATAATAATAATAGCAAGATCAAAGATATGAGCACAAACACAAACACACACAGACGCAGAGAGAGAAAAAAGAAGAAAAAAAAAAAACAATAACCGTGAATATCAACATAACACAACATAGACATTGCTACCTGTCATTTTTTAAAATAAAGCCCATGATTCGGAGATCTACTCCAAAGTAACTCTATGCTTGATAAATAATAAAATGATGGAAATTACCCGCAGAAGTTCCCCTCTTTTCTTTTCATTCTTCCTGCCTTAAATTATTCACACAAAACTTTCATCATCGTCATTATTTCTTATCAGGCAATACGCTACAATAAACAAAACAAAAAAAAGATATGACACCATCGTCCCAGGCCCAGAAAATGAAAGAAAAAAAAAAACAGTACATATATATATATATATTTAAATAAACAAACAGTAAAAAAAAAAGCAGAAACTCTCTCTCTCTCTCTCTCTCTCTTTCCCCATACTTTCTTACATTTCATTCATTCATTCATACATACATACATTCATACATACATATATATATATATATATGCATATTCACAACATTTACACTATTTTCCCTCCTTTTCCTTTTCCCTTTCCCTGGGTGTTGGGATGGTCTCCTGCACTGTAATGGATCCCCAATTATCAAAAAACACCTTCGCCACAATCACCGTAATGGGACCAAATAAGATCCCACGCAGGCCGTAATTCACATATCCAAGAAACAAGGCGGTGCCAATAACAAATGTTGGCAATTCCTCTCGCACAACCCCAGCCGCATCCCGCACAGAACTTCCACGCAATCCACGCGATACGGACAAGAGCCATTCATCCATGTGCGAGAGTAAAGTGGCCGCCGCACAGTGCCAGACCCGGAGATCCACCACCACCCCCAACACACCCGCATCACTCACAGCAGTGAAGAGGGAATACACCAACGCAAAGGAAACAGGTGAAAACCACGATGGCAACAGTGGAAATACCGCCGTAAAGGCGGAAAGTAATCCACTGAAAAAAGGTGTAGGGAAGGACCAATACTGAAAGAGACAGAATGTAATACAAAAGTGAAACCATGAGAGATGCCAAAAAGATTGTAAAAGCGTTAAAAGAGAAACTGTAATATCACGCTCGATATTACGAGCATGTTGCTCGCCAAGTTCTGGATGAAGTGCTTTAAACATTTTAGCCACTACATAATAGAGAATAGTGTGCTCCAGTTGTAAAAAGTACTGTAGGACAAATATAAAAAAAACAAAGGCATAAATAGAATCAAAAAATCCAACGACATTTGAGCTCAATAAAAATAAAACATGAGTAGTATAGACGAAAAAAGGACGCCAACGTTCCAAAAGACTCTTCGCTACACCTACCCAGTCAACATTGCGTAATGAAGTACCACTACTACTAATATTACTATTAAAGAATGAAGTATATAATTCTCTACCTTTATTTAACATTTCACTCATAGTAATATTGGGTGGAAATGTTGAAAGTATAGGAGAGATAATATGACGCACATTAATTGCCAATTCTGTTACATTTGTATAGTTCATACATTCTGCAATTTCCGCTAACACTCGATGTTGTACTTCCGATAAGATCATTTCCTGAACATCTGATAAATATGAAGATGATGTCGTTGTATTCGCAGAAATATTAACCATACCTTTAATAGAGATATTCTTAAAAGAAGTAGTAGAGGTCCCATTTATTGTATTAGTAGTAGTAGTAGTAGCATTTTTATTATTATTATCATTATTATTAATAGCAGTGGTAGTGGAAGTAGTGTTTTCTTTCAAGAATTCTTTACTTGTCCACTGTTGCCGAGCATTCACAACGGCCGATGTCGTTCGTTTAACCGCACCACTGATAGAAATAACATCCAATGCCAAATTGTATGAGAGACCAATCACAAAGAAAGTTACTATTGAAATACGCCAAAGACGCCACATTAATTCAATGAAATAATTCTCAGAGACAAATAAAACAGTTACCGCAAATATTACAAATAACACCAAATGCATTAAAAGAAAAAAAGAAAAACCAACTAAACAATGGGCAAGTAAAGATAACACGCATCCGGCAATTAATCGAAGTAATATACGTCCTCTTCGTGTTGATACCAAAAAAAACCGTTCTCCCTTTCGACTTATTTTTTCCATTCCTTTACGGCCCTTTACTAACCACCATGATCCCACGGAGAGTTTGTTAAGACCAAAAAATATTACCACTTGAAATAAGGCATAGGAGAAAAAAAGTTTTAACGACAATAAAGATCCAACAATACCAAATAATGAAGAACGTTGAGCCCAGGCTTGTTGCATTAATCGCATTTGTCGTCTACATTCTTCTCTTGCAGTGTAGGAATCAAAACAATGATTACGGGTCTTTGGATGAAGTATCACGGAGAGCAACAAACCAAAACTAATACTATCAGCATATGGTCGGCAAAGTATATAAATAGCGTAAAAGAGGGCAATAATCATTACTAACAATAATCCACTTGTTGAACCTGAAATAACTTGAGACCAATTACGTTCATACGTGATAGAATCCAAAACGTTATTTACACCATCTGTGAGATTATTTTTATTTACTCGTGATCTCGACGCCCCACGTGATGTTGGTGTTGGGGTTCTTCTTCTTATTGTTGTTGTTGCTGCTGTTGGTGTTGTGATGGATGCGGCTCTCTTTGTTCGTGTGGATGTTGTTCTCTTTGTAGTGGCTGGTGAGGTGTAATGCCTGGGAAGAGAGTACGTGGCTGCAGTTGCTGCGTTGGAGTATCTTAAATTGTAGTATTCCAATTTACGCGGCGACGGCGAGAGCGTTCGTTTATCATTCCTCATTGATATGATGAACAGAAGAGAGAGAGATATAGTTAAGTAGAGATAAACAGAGATGATTTCTTTTTCTTTTTCTTTTCTTTCCTTTCTTGTTGTACAAAGAACAAGAGAACCACACCTTGTTTATATACACAGAGTAGAAACACACACACACACACATACACACACATATGGAATACATCCATAGATGTAAATCATACAGAAAACAGAAAAAGAAAAAGAAAAAAGAAGATAATAATACAATAAAAAAAAATATATATATTAGAGAGAAATAAAAAAATAAATATATATATATATAAATGAAAGTCATTACACTACTCCAATACAAATACAGAGCTAAATTAGATGATAAGAACCAAAAATGGAAAACAAAAAAAAAAAGAGCAAGAACAACGTTCATTATGATGAACATGATCATTATAAAGAAAAGCAGAAAAAAAAAAAACCAAAAGAAGAAAACACCAAACTGCAAACAGATAAAACAACAACAAACCATCAATAATTGTTTTATCTCTCCATTCTCCTTCTCAACACTATTCAACACTCACTCAACCAACTGTTAATCCACCTTCTCTTCCTTTCCTCCCTCCTCATCCTCCTGTGTTTCGTAGTAAGCATCCAATACTGGCTTACCTACATTGTATACAAAGGTGAGACCACAGAGGCCTACACCCATAAGAGTGAGAATTCCACCACAGATGGAGCCACCAAATGGTTTTGTAGAACTCTCATCACACTGAAGCACTAATCTTGTTAATTCATCATCTACAATATTTCCTCTTTTTCGTATTTCTGTACGTACACTAAGTGTACAATGTCGTTGAGGGTGTACAAGTAGTGATAGGAATAATGGCGATGAAGATAAAGATGATGATGATGATTGCGTCGCAGTAGGCACTATAAACCGACGAAAGAGACGCATATTCTTCGCTTCAACTCTAATGTGCTACAGTTTATAAAATCTACAAGATGATACCTTCTTTAGGAAAGTAAATAAAAATAAAATAAAAAGAGAAACAAATAATAATAATAATAATAATAATAATAATAATAATAATAAACGTCGTATAATGATATAAATGGGGGAAGGAAAAAAATAATAATAAAACAAATGTAGATAAAGAAACATAGTACCACGTCTCATAATCCCTGTACTAATAATAACACTAAGAAACTCTCTCTCTCTCTCTTCCATGGACATTTAGTCGATGTTATTACTGTGCCAGAAGAAGTGATGATCATCTTTTATTCCCATAGATTCACGCAAACAACGTAACTGCTGCATCTGATGATCACTAATCATTCCTTTCGCAAAGAATTTCCTTGCGATATTCAAATTCTGCTTCAGGTGTTCCTCAGATCGACACTTTACGAGCACACAGAAACCCTGACACAATCCCCACATAATCAACACATCCGGAACTGTAAATCCGGGAAAAACATCCTTCACAATAGCACACAAAGTGGGATGCTCAAGCAGCATTGCATTTCCCTTCGCCAGTGGAGAGTACTGCTGAAGAAGGATCCCATGATCACGGCAGTAATCACAAACATCCTTCTGCACACATAATGGATGAAGTTCAATCTGATTTACTACCGGCCTACAGGGATTGGATGGATCAAAGAGTGTCTTCTCACTGCCGTCGGCGGCCAAACTCGCAAAGTGCCGCGGGGCGAAGTTCGACACCCCCGCATGCCGCACAATTCCTTCACGCCGCAACTGCTCGAGTGCCTCCCAACAGTGACGGCGGGCGGTGCGGTGTGCCTTCACATCATTTACCGCCGCTCCGCCGCAGCCCGGCCAGTGCAGAAGCACCACGTCGGCGTAGTCAATTTCTAACAGCTGCACACTGCGGCGAACACCGGCGGCGACGTCTGCGGCTGTCGGGCCCATCGCCTTCGGGGCGATCTTCACAACAACCACCAACGCACTGCGCGGCACTCCGGAGGCTTTAATGCCCTTCGCCACGAGTGTCTCATTATGATACGCCGCCGCAGTGTCGATGAGCCGCACACCCGCCCGCAATGCCGTTTCTACTGCCGCCGTGCAGTCGTCGCCGCGGAGTTCATGCGTTCCGATGCCGAAGGGCGGTATTCGCATCCCATCAGCGGCTACCAGCCACGGGAGTTGATCTTCACTCGGCGTTATCATGTATATCACTATAAATAGTATAAATATAAATATATATATATATATGGGAGAGAGAAGAGAGAGAGAGAGAAAGGGGCAGTGTAAAGGAGTGAGTTAAGCTTTAATAGCTTTGCAAATGGGTTCTATATGGGGCAAAAAAAAAAAAAAATGAAGAGAATAGATCACTCTTTCATCTCGTCATCATTCTACTTTTTTCACTTGTGGTGTAAAGCAGTGAAAAAGAAAAAGCAACAAAAATAAAAATTATAAAAAAAACAAAAAACAACCAAACGACCATCAACTGTTTTTTACAGTCAACTCAAAACGAAAACAAAAAAAAAAAAAGAAAAAAAAAACACTGTCGCAAGAGGAAGTTTATTTTCTCATATAATGCGTTATTAACAGTTAAAGCGGCGTGCGCTAACGAGAAAATCATACGACCACTCACGCAGTGTAGAAGGTGCAAGCATCAGCTGAAAGCAATCATTATCCACACGAGTACCATCCCATCCTCCAAATATAATAATTTTACCACGAGATGATTGGACAGCAGCATGTGAACGACGACCAGCTGGAATACAATTATTCCCTAAATCCTCCTCCCCCTGCAGTAATTGATGTTGTTGTTGTTGATGATTACAGCAAAGGGCTGTGTGAATGTGATTAATCATAGAACGACGTCTTTGTAGGGTATCTTCATCTTCCGAGGATATACGTGAAGAAGTATTACAAGATAAGAAAAGACTTGTAGTTAATCTTTGAGAATAGGCATAATGAAAAGGTTGCCATTGTAATGAAGGAAATTTGAAAATATAACAATCATCAAGAGTACGACCACAGGGAAATTTATCCGTTCCACCAAATATAATCATACACTGTGATAAAATACACGCGGTGTGCCCAAATCGTGCAGGTGGAGTAAAATTTCCCCAAACATTTACGGCTCTCCACACAAATGAAGAGAGATTTAATTCCCAAAGTACATTATCTCCTCCGCGTGAAAAGAGAACTCCACCAAATACATATAAACATCTTTCCACACTTGTCTCTATATTTCCTTCTGTTGGTGGTGGATAGACAACGGCAGAATGACAGTAACGTGGAGCCGGCATTTCACTAAGAGGATCATGTGGGTTTATTCCACTTGTCTCTTTGCGTTTCCACTCAAATGTTGTTTCATCTAATAACCAAACATCATTTACAGAAGTAATGGCATGTCCACCAAACAAAATGGCCTTTCCATCAGGTATAGGGGTTAGTGTGTGAGACCGACGTGCACTGGGCCATGAAGAAGAAGAAGAAGAAAATAAAAACGAATTTCTAGTTGTACTAGTTGTATTAGTTGTAGTAGTTGTATACGAATTTGTAATATAATTAGCGACACTCCTATTACTAGAAGAACCACTGTTATGGTCATTATGAAGAAATGAAATGGAGTTACCCATGGACCTCATTTGATGAGGCATTACTGCAAGTTGAGAGAAACTAATACGGCGGAATACAGCATGTTGATGATTTAATAAGGGAAATACAGAAACAACATACATCTCATTATACAATTCTGTATTATTGGAACCACCAAAAATAATAACACTTTCACCATTTAAACAACGGTGAGCGGAATGACCAAATCTCCCAGACGGCACATCTCCAGAAACTTGCATCTGTGTAGATACAACTTCAGCATCACGTAATTGTAGTATCCAAGCATCATTTAAATACTCTCTGTTCTTTGATACACCTCCAAAGAGAAAAAGTACATCCGACTGTATCTCCGTTAGAGAATGACCGTAACGGGCAGCAGGGCAGAGATGAGAACTCTCCTCTAATGCTGCTGTAGTCTCTTGTCCTTCTTCTTCTTCATTACCATCAATTGCAAAGGAAAATATATTGTCATCTCTATTACTATTCTCTTCGCTGCAGCAAAAGTTATGCGAAGAACACTTTAGTCGACGGCATCGCAATCGGTAGGAAGCGATCGGTACACCCTTTGCTACTTCGCCAACTGTAGTCTCTACTGGTGACTCCAGTAATCCCTCTATCTGATCCGTACCCATTACTGATATAAAGATAAATAGATAGATAGTAATTGAGATGTAAAGAGAGGAAAAAAAAAAAATACTTTCAAAAAGAAGGAATTTAATACGAAAAGAGTAATAGATAGAATAATAATAATAATAAATAAAAGTTTTTTTTCCCAATGACACACTAGAATAGAATGTAAATGTGAAGTGTTCTACACACCTTATATAGATATTTTTTTTATTTGTCTGTGTATCTGTTTTTCCTTCCTAAACCTTTTTTTATTTTGTCACACATAGAGAAAACACACAAAGAGAAGAGAAGAAGAAGAAGAAGAAGAAGAAGAAGAAGAAGAAGAGAAAAACAAAAATAAATTTCATACCCTATATATATATATATAACAAGAGAAACGATGATAATTGATCTATAGACAAGAAAATATATATATATAATTCAAAGACAACCAGTAAACGAGACCAAAAAATCGTTCTATCATCTTTTTCTCTTTTCGTATTGGTCAAGTTCTCTCTCGGCACACAGGTGTGGGCCTCAAGCTTAAAGAAAAAAAAAAGAAAAATCTCCTGTTATTTTTTTTTTTTTTAAATCAACTTTTCACAGAAGAAATTCCATTTACTTCAAGCGATGCACCGATCCACCACAGGCGAAGAGAGAAAAAATACACCGGGAAGTCCAAACATAAAAAAAAAAAAAAAAGAAATTTAACGAGCAAACTAGTAAATGCAGATCACATTCACTGTAGAAAACTTTCAGGTATAATTACTCAAACAAACAAACAAAAAAAACACATATATATATATATATATATATATATATGGGCCGGGAAGAAAACCCTGGCAAAAAAGAGGTCGCACAAACTCCACTCTTTCTATTTGTGGCCCGCTCCATCATTTTCATCGAAACAACGGGGACCAGGAAAGAGGGAAAAACAGATGGTTTTGTATATGTGCCAAAAATCATAAAAAGGGTCGCATAGAAGGGGAAAAAGATCAGAAAAGAAAAAAGGAAATAAAGAAAAGGGTGGGGTAGTTTTTCTTCTTTTTACTTTTGCCTTTTTCTTTCCTCCAGCAGGAAAGAAGAAGAAAAAAAAAAGTAATTGCATGAAATACACAAAAAAAAAATTAAACAGTAAAAAAAAAAAAGAAAAAAAAAACATGATATAGAAATATTTTTCCGAAGAAGAATTTCCGAATTTTCAAAATAAAACTTTTACTTATAGTAATTTTCTCTTCCCATACAAGAAAACAATACAAGAGAATCTAAAAAAAAAGGGAGATGAGAATCCAATTGTAATCTCTCATATAGAATCTTTTTTGAACTCACCTTCCTGTGTTGAGGGGAGTAAATTATTTTCTGGCTCAATCGCATTATCGACAACATCACCACTATTGTACTTTGACTCAAATACTTCTTCAATCTCCTCTAGTGAGAGTCCTTTGGTTTCCACCACAAAGAATTGAATAAAGAGGGCAGAAAGGGCAATACAACCACAAATAACACTAAAGGTGCCACCCACTCCAATAGATCCCATTAAAGAAGGAAATGCCTGAGAGACAACCGCATTAGAAGCCCAATTACTCATTGTTGCAATAGAAGCAGCGGATGTACGTAAATGATTTGGAAAGATTTCACCCATCACAACCCACGGCATCGTACCAAGACCAGGGGCAAATACAGCGAGATAGAGTCCCAATAAGGAAAGAAAAACCCATCCACCTGTAGAATATGGCACTTGATTACCCAAACAGAATCCAATAGCGGTCATTACAATGGTAATACAGAAACATGCATAGGCACTTATCTGTAAGAGTAATCGTCTTCCCCATCGATCTACTGTAAATGCTGTAAAGATTGTAAAGATGGTGTTTATTCCAGCAAGGGGAATAGATAAGATCACAGGTGTTTTAGGATCTTTAAATCCCGCATCATATAATATCACAGAGCTGTAGTACATAATAGTATTAATACCAGAGAACTGCTGTACAACGTGGAGCATACAACCAACAAACATGCGTCTCCGCATAGACTTTGTAAAGAGATCGCGATAGTTTAACGTCACTGGCTCCATCTCAACAGAGTCCTGTACATCACAGATATCAATATCAAACTTTGCTGCCACCTCACGTGCCAGTTCAACTTTACCACGTGAGAGTAACCAACGTGGGCTTTCTGGAAGAAAAAAGATAAGACCAACCAATTGAATCAATGCTGGCAACGCACCAAGTCCAAGAGCCACACGCCAACCAATGTTAATAGGTGTAAACTGCACCAACAGAGCCGTCACGCCAGAAGCCACCAGTTGTGCGCCTGTCAGAGAAATACTATTAAATACAACAGTGGCTCCACGTGCATCGGGTGGGGTAACTTCTGCCAAATAAACCGGAACTGTGGCGGAGCTGATTCCAATCCCAAGACCCACGACGGCTCGCCCGACCAGCACCATCTCCACACCATTAGCCGCAGCCATTAACACAGATCCAACAACAAAGAGAATATCCGCAATGGTGAGACACGGGCGTCGTCCCCAGCGGGAAGAGATGAGTCCGGGAATACACGCTCCGACAAAGGCACCAGCAATCGCAATGCTCACAATGAGGCCGACAATCCAGGAGTGCTCGGATAATCCAAAGTGGTCCTTCATCTGGAAAATAGCACCATTGATGACACTGGTATCATACCCAAAGAGAAACCCGCCAAGGGCGGCGAACATCTTTACACTATTCTTCATATTGATGGGTATATATATATATATATATATATATATATATATCTGCTCTGCTGATCTTTTGTACTGTTTTTATTCTCTTTTACTTTATTTTTATTTGCAAATTTTAAGAGCCTTAAGTAAAAGTGAGTAGAATTTTTCTTTCTTCTCCTATTTTTTTTTCTTTTTCTTACTAAGAGAAGAGTGGTCAGAGGAATTTAAAAAAAGAAAAGAAAAATCATTTAATCCATTCAATTGGTACAATGGAAAGAAGGTGTTAAATGCGAAAAAAAAAAAAAAAAAAACAATCACAGCATATATACACACAGACCAACATTACACAGAGCTTACATACATAGATACAGAGTGAACAAAAGGAAGAAAGTAAAATATCATCATTTTGAATAAGTAGGACAGATAACGATACCATAATAAAAAAAAAAAAAAAACAGACACACACATAGTGTAAAAAACCACATTTATATACGTCTATGCCCATATGTAGAATGGACCTGCAGAAGAAAAAAAAGAAAAAAACATCGTCTTAAGAAAGACGCCTTATCTTGTCCCATTCTTTTTTTCTCTTGTTTGTTGTTACGTTAAAAGAAAAAAAAGAAGTTTCCTTTATTAAGTTACCCTTTTATTCTTCATTCGTTAAATATCCTCTTTAGAGGTATAATAATAATAATAATGTGGGAAGTGTGTTACTCTTCCAGTAACTCTTTTTTTTTTTTTTTATCATCATCTACTCTTAAAAAACACACACATATACGCACACATCCTCACATAAAGGGAAAAGAAACAAACAAAAAATAATAATAAATTTACTCTACCAAGTTCCATAGATGATCCACATGTATTCACTATCGAGGGAGACTGCATACAACACTCACTTTTTTTTTTTTCTTTTTCATTTTCAGAGCCCAAGCTAGAAATCAAATGGACATCAGCATCAACAATATGAACAAAAAAAAAAAAAAAAACATAGCGCCAGGTTCAGAGTTGCACTTCGTATAAATGCAAACCTCCCGCACTACATAATGATCTAGAAGTGAATAAATCAAGTGAAGAAGTGAATCTAAGAAAACAGAGAAAAATAATTTTGTAGAATGTACAGATCACATCGTGCAAATCCTTTTTTTTTTTTACTATATTATTATCAAGTGTCAAACACTCCTTGTACATCCCCAATAACCTAAATGAAGAGAAAAAATTCTGATTTATGAAGGATGGTACCCCCATCTCTCTTTGGTGTAATGTCAACTCTACCTTATTGTCTATAGAGACTCTCTCTACCACCATCCAAATAACAAAAAAAAAAAAAAATCACATTTTCCCTTCTTCTTTTTTTTCTACCTTTAGATTTCTCTTTCAAATTGGTTATATCATCCACAAACACAGAAACGCAGATATAAATATATATATATATATCCTTATTGGTATATTCCGCAGTATCCATCCTCTCCCGCATCTGTGGTCGGATAAGAGGTGATAGGATTCTTCTGTGTGTCTCCAGTACTTATGGGATGCGCACCGCAAACATCCAACAACGGTGGAGATGATTCCGATACTGCCATTAACATTTGTGGAGATGATGTCATTGTTTTTTTCCACTGCTGAAATGAAACATCGTGATCATCATGAATGGAGTTTCCATCTATTTTATCAAGACTCTCATTCAATCGGCAGCGAAGGGATTGCATTGGGGATTCAAAAAGCATTTTTCGAACACTTGGGGAATCTGCATCGTAACGACAAGAGTGAAATTCATCTTCAAACAATACATGCGGTTCCGTTGGACCTCCACAAACCCCAACATTATTCACATTCGTTGTGGTATTAGCATTTGTTGTTAAACCTCTACTATTACCAAATACATTTCTTTCAAATAATATATTGGTTCGTGTATTCCCAAGAGTTACATGAGAAGAAGGAGTTAATCGTGGGGCTCTACTCTGCGAGGCGAGAGTACCATTTCCATTTCCATTTCCGCAGGGTTTAATAGAAGTTGCTGGACTAAAACATAATGCAATCGGTGAAAGTGCAGGTCCAATTAATCGTGAGTTCTCATCTCGTCCCTGCGTGGCTACACCAGCAGCACAGGAAGAAATAGAAAGACGTCTTGTAGCGGTACAGTTTCCCCATCCACTATTTAAATAAGAACGACGACGAGAGGTATCCATACTTTCATGATGATAATGCATATGTGCGGATTGTAAGGAAGGGCTGGGAGTGGCACTAATAGAAGAAGACCAATTACTGTAATGTTGACAAGACATAGAAACACTTATATCAGATGGATTTAATCCAAAATTACATCTTGGCTTATTACCATTACCATTACCAGCTCCTTTACTCATACCAACATTACTACTATTCATATTATTTCTTCCTCTTCCTCCAGCAACAGCCGATACTCTTGATCGTTTAGTTGGAGTAGTTGCAATAGGTCGGAATGTAAGATTTTTAGGATCTACAGATGATCTACATCGTGATCGAAGGGGAAATGTCACTTCTGCGTTTTCACAATCCACACCATATTGTTCTCTTATAGGATCAAAGAAAACATGTTTTAACGCCTCTGATGCGGTGAGACGTTTACGAGGATCCAGCGTGAGAAGACTTTTTAAAAAGTCAAGATAAGCCGGAGATGGAGAAGAAAGACTATCAAATAATGTCGTTTCATGTGTATTCTCTGGATAATGTTGAAAGTCTGTTCCCAACTTTGCACAAATCTGATGAAGAACTTGTAAATCTGTAGATCCACAAAAGGCAACAGATCCAGTAGCGAGTTCAAACATTGTACAACCCAATGCCCACATATCACAAGCCAAATAATCTTCTGCACGACCCATCAATTGCTCAGGAGATTTATAATATAATGTTCCTCTTCCACTTCCTACATTTTCACTTTCATGTATAAAATGGGCTGCACTGAAATCTCCAAGTGTAGCTTTTACACGTTCTTCTTCTTTTTTAAAAAGAGGAAAACTCTGTGTCTGTAACATATCATCATTTGTACAATTATTATTCTTTTCTCTACTACTAGTACTACTATTATTATTATTATTATTATTATTATTATTATTATTATTAGTCCCTTCTTCCGTATCATATAATGAAGAGGTAATATCCCTAATGGATGTATCTACTACAATTCTTGCAGGTTCCGCTCGTTTTAGTAAAATATTACTTGGTTTGATATCTCGATGTGCTATTCCACGTTTATGAAGATGCGAAATGGCCGCAATGATTCCATGCAGAAGTGGACGTGTAATATCTTCCATCATGAAAGCCGTATTAGCAGCACGAAGTTCTCTACCAAGATCACTATCCATCAATTCCATTGCGAAGAATGTGACTCTGTTTGAGTTTGTATAACTTCCCAGAAACTTTACAATATGATGATGTGGACCAAGATACTGAAGAATAGTACTTTCAGAGGGAAGACGTACAACCCTGGGCGGATGGGGTTTCTCCCACATTGGTAGTTTTCGTACATACTCCGTGGGTAATTCTTCTTCACGTAGAGAACTAATCTCATGCACTTCATCATCCTCGTATGGATGTGGATATTCTTCTTCTTCTTCTCCTGCATTCTCCTGTAAACCATCCTCATTATTATTAGTATTATTATTATTATCACTATTATCATTATCATTCACATCATCATTAATTTCCATTTCCTCATTATTATGAAATATTTCAGAACAATGTTTCCCATCATCTGGAAAAGCAGCCGAGGAACACGAAGAAGCAATAGCCGTAACATCTGAATGTTTCCCTTCAGGTGTAACAGTTAAAGATTCTAGTGGATGATAATGATAATGATGATGATAAGAAGAAGAGAAAGATACGTGATTTACAGGACTATCAGCTGCTGCTATTCCCTTTGCATAGAGTCGTTTCACCGCTACGAGTTCATGTGTGTGTCTGTGCTGGGCAAGAAATACAGTACCACTGCTGCCAGATCCAAGTTTTAATTTACACACTTCATATTCAAATCCCGTCTGAACCTCAGAGAAGTTAAACGACATTTATTTTACTATCTGTATACTAGCGTAACGGTATTTCTCAATTTCTTTCTTTATATATATATATATATATATATATAGTTATATATAAAGATATAATGAGAAAAGAAAAGATAGATATATCTGTTTTTATCTCCCTTGTGGGTAATTGGGCCTAATACCCCTCTTATTATCTCTCTCTCTACGTGTTTGTTTGTTTGCCCCAACGAGAAAAAAAAAAAAACACCAGTAGTAGTAGTAGTGGTGGTGGGAACGCAGAAAATAATAAAAAAAAGCCGTACACCACACTACGCCGCCCCTACCACTTTTTTTTTTCTCTATAGAAAGGTGTATTCACAGTAAGTAAATATAAAATAGAAAAGAAGAAGAAGAAACAAAATATCAAACAAAAGAAAAGAAAGAAAAGAAAGAATATTACAGAAAAAAAAATATCAGAATAGAGTATATTTTCCATTATGTATGTTTTTTTGTATTATTTTTTTTTTCTTTTCGTTCCACCTATATTCCAGAAGAAAGAAAGGACCTTTCATCCAGGTCTTCTCATAGGCAAGCATGCATATATATATACACATATATAAACAAGGATAAAAAAAAAAAAAAACACCCCTTCACATCACCTCTTCTCTTAAGAGCTTGAGGGAACACACTAATAACATAAACTGCATTATATATATATATCTTCTTAAGATTATTATTGTTCTTCTTTTTTTCTTCTTCTTCACCCACTCACACTAAATAAGGCACCACCACCACCACCACTAGTACTATCAATGTTTGTATTATCGTTCATCTCACTTAATTGCAATAATTGCGCACCGTCTTGTGCATTTCGCAAACGACGTTGTGCGATAAGTGCATCCATGCAAATTATAAATGAACTCTCTGTTGTGCAGTTGGAGGCAATAGAGGCGAGAACTTCTTCCCGATAGAGTTCATGCAATACTTCTTGTACAGAGGAAACTTTTCCATGCATTGACCTTCTTGTTGTTGTTGCCATGTGATTAATTTCATCTAGAAAGAATCTACAGATGAGACGACGTAGTGGGATACTTATCTTATCATCATTCAACATACTCCAGAATGCCAGTAGTTTATTACGTGAAGGTACACATACTTCCACTAGAGCGGAAGAACCAACGGCATTACTCACATATGCATACTGCCGCAGTAAACTACGCAAATGTGCCCCATGCGAGGCACTCTCTAGTGGAATACACACACGAGAGACATGACTCTTTGCTGTGAGTCGCACCATATTGAGAATCCATGTAGATATATTGTCATCATTGGGAAACATCTCCTTTACAAATTGCTGCACGGTGGCAAAATGGACTCCACAGTCAAGAGCCGCCGCACAGATAGGAATACAATGGGCAGGTGTCACAATACTCGATGGTACACTATTATTACTATTACTACTTCTACTGCCTTTTCCTTTTCCTTTTCTTTTACTTTTAGTTATCCCTGTTGATATCCCTGTTGATATTGTTGTTGTTGGTATGGCTGCGGCTGCACGTAGGAGGGCGAGGGAACGGTGTCCCATCCACGCCTCACATCGTCCGCCAACACCTTCTCGCATTGTGCGGCTCACAACAGCGACGGCATTTTCAAAGGCACGCGGGTTTTGTGAAAAGAGAACCGCAAGTGTGTAGTGGACAACAGAGAGATGATTCCACACCAGTCGGGCCGCATCTACACTACGGCCCATACGCCGTAATCGCCGTAGTAATGGTAAACAACAACGCACAAATGTCTGGTGTACATGAAAACTTCGAAACGTCAAGGCACATGTGGAGAAGATCATTAATGGTGAAAGATGTAATTGAGAGAGAAGTGGAGGATGTCGTAATAACATACGACTCCACATACGTCTTGCAGAAGAACGGGATGATTGAAGTTGTGTAATAAAATATTGACGTAATCGTTTTCTCTGTTCTTCTTCTTCTTTATCTTTATTCTTTGATAGATGCATATCTCCTTTTCGTACTTGTCGTCCACAGAGTAGACGAAGTAGAAGTGTAGTATCACAGGCATGTCGAATACATGGTGAGTGTGATAATAAGAGTTGTTGTAATTCTGTCCATTCATCCTTTGATGATAGGAATGCTTTCTGTGTATATATACGTCTCATCTCACTACGTGGAGTACTAAGAATCTCTGCTGGACTACATTGTGTTGGTTGTCTAAACCCACACGCAAAGGCTGGCCCTATTTGTTGTAATAATTGAGCATTATATAATGGACTCCGCTCCACTACGCGATGAAAGTCATCCTGCAATTCAAATGGAATAAGACATGATGTTTGTTTTCCTTCCATTGTTCTCATTGTTGCTATTGTCACTGCATTAATCCACGTAAGCTTTTCATACACTGGAACTAGAGATTCATCCTGAATAATCAATTCATGTACTGCCTTTACTAGTAGTAGTCGTGTTCGTTGTGGTCCAAGGGCGGAGAAGAGACCTCGTCGCTCTGTACATGTCTCTACTGTAGAATTCTCACTAGATCCTAATTTTCCTCCTTCTCCTTCTCTTACTGTTGATGATGATGATGATGATGTTGATATTGATATTGATATTGGAGTCTTTTCTCCTTGTTGATCTAATTGACGTTTCTGCTCTAACAACTCTCTGTGGAGTATAGAGATTACACTGCGTAGAGTCTCCACATCTCCAATAACACCAAGTGTCTTGAGTGCACGTTGTAAATGACGAGTGGCAATAACTTTAGATTTTAATTGAATACGTCTGGTGGGATGTTGCCAAGAGTGTAAGAGATCCACAGCCGTAGTGCCTTTTCCCGCCTTTAAGAGAATAGCCACACTCTCCGCTGCCAATGAAAGTGGAAGTTCATACATCCGCTGCTCAATACTAGTACTTATATCGAGTTGAGAGAATTGAATTACTTGCAGTGCCCCACTCCATGTATCACTTATATGATGTAAAGCCGCCGTGGAGGAACTCATCTTCATTTCCACTTCTCCAACTTTTTCCTTCTCCTTTTCTCTTCTCTCTTTGATGGAGTTTACAACTCTACTTGCCTGCTGCGCAACTTCCGCAGGAGTTCTATTCACTGCTGCTGCTGCTGCTGGTGGTGGTGCTAATCGGCCCGCCACAACAACAACAGAAGAAGAAGAAAGTGAAGTTCGTTGAGAGGCACGAGCCGCTGCTCGCTGGCAGACGTTTTCTAAAGCCACCAACCAACTCATTTTTTTTTTTCTAATTAATTCACCGCTGAATGTTATTAATAATAATAATACTATCAATATATATATTTAACTATTACTAGTACTCCTAATAAGAAACTAGTTTAAAAAAAAAAAAAAAAACACTAGTAAATACAAAGGAGAAGAAAAATAAGAATAAATAAATAAAAACAAATAAATATATTTAAAATATTTCATATACCCAAAGAGAAGGTATTCTAGTTCCCATATTCATTTCAATCTCTCTCTCCTTCTTTCGTTCTTTCTCCTACCACTCATTTTATAATAGTTTATTTCTCTCTTCTGTTCTCCCCTCCTTCACACCGTAAGGTAAGGTCTCACCAATGTATGTTGAGATGATCGGGAACCAAATCGCAGTCTTTTTGTTGTTGTTGTTTTTTTTCGCTTTATCCCTCTTTTCCTTTTTCTTCTTATGACTACTCGTTATACTGCCAATTGCCTTCTCCTCTCTTTTTATCTTTCTATTGCAGGAAAGCCCAGAGAAATAATAATAATAATAATAATAATAATAATAATAATAATATTAATAATGACACCACACATGGGCAACATTAAAGCAAAAAAAAAGGGGGGTTAAATGGAGTACAGCAAAAGGGCAGTAATAGTGCATAAAAAAGATTATTTGGGATAATAAACTAAAAAGAACCGTTTCTTTGTCAATACAACTCATTTCTTTTGTTTTTTTTTTATGTCTTTTTTTTTTCTTTTAATTTTTCACTATTGATATAAAAGAAAAGATATTATATCCGTATAGCAGTGGTAGTGGTGACCCAGTGAAGAACAGATGAGTACATAAGATTATGTATACGAAGATACATACAAAAGTAAATAAATGCAACAAAAACAACAAAAAAAAATGCTGAAAACTCTAGTTTATAAACAAAAACAACGAAAGCAAATAAAACAGTGAATGTTTCATATACTGAAACAACGTGAAAAAAAACAAAAATATTTTCTTTTTTTTTTTTATTTTATTTTTTTCTTTTTTATCCCTTTTCATATTCTCCAATTTCCTTTTCTTTTTTCCCCTATTTCAAAATATTTCTCTTCTTTTCTTTGATTTTTTTTTCCCCTTCAATTGACTATAAATAAAAACGTAATCATGATATGTTGTTTAAGAAGCACTGTGAGAAAAATAAAGAAGAAATGATATATACACATATATATATATATATATATATATATATATATATATATTTATATACTTTCCCATCCCCTCCTGTGATCCCTATTCTCTTGATTTGAGTTTTATTTATTTTTATTTTTTTTCTTTCTTCCTTCTTATTCATCTCATTTTCTTCTTGTTTATATTTCTACTGTTATAGCTCTCTTTCGTTTTCTTCCCCCCTTCCAAAAGAGGAAAAACAAAAACAAAAAAAAAAAACTGCACGTTCATCCTAACACGATGTCTGCAGGGAAATAACGATATGACACAAACAACGGTAGTAGAAACAACAACAAAAGCAAAAAAAAAAA